TGTATATATATATGTGTATGTGTATATATATGTGTATGTGTATATATATATGTGTATGTGTATATAATGATCACCTCTTGTGAGCTGATCTCCATATCTGTGGTTGACAGACGACAGCTGGTCTGACTGCAGGTCTGGAGCGGATCCCAGATCAGCTCGGGTACCTGGTGATCAGTGAGGACGGGGTTCTGGCCGTGAGTCACAAACACACAAACAGACTCAGTTCAACTTCCTGACGCTCTCTCTAGCGCTCTCTCTAACATTCTCTCTCTGACGCTTATCTGCATCTGTTTAATGCAAAATACATTTCCTGAATCGTTATGAGCTGCTTAAGGATTCGGTGTTTAAATAAAGTTATGTTTGGTTGTGTCATCAGTCAGCAGGTGAGCTGGAGAACGATGAGCACACAGCAGCGGTGATGATGCAGATGGTTCGAACAGCGAGTCGATTTAAGTTACCTGGATCACCTGAGCCGCCCTTCAAACGCATGTCAGGTAACCAACACTGTCTCCAGGCCAGCCGCTCACCTGTAGGAGAGGCGACCCTCTCACCTGTAGTGACTCTCTCTCTCACCTGTGTTCCGTCTTCTCTCCTCAGTGACTCTGGAGGACTTTGTTTACATGGTGACGGTTTCCGGTCAGAAGGTTTTTGTGGTCAAACGTCAGAACAACCAGCAGGAACCAATCAACGCTTAGAGAGCGACACACAGGAAGTGAGGTCATCGGTTGGTCTGCAGCTGGAAGTCATTAGAGTCTAACTCTGTTAAACTCTTCATAAGGCTTTGTGTATTTAACTGAATAATTTAAACTGAGATTAATAAAGATTAACATGTTGTGACTGTTGAGATATTTGACCAAAATGTATCTGAAAACAATTGAATTTCTTTGCTTTTATTCTAAAGGACTGAATCTTTTTTTTCTTTCAAAACTACTCGTGGATTATTTAAATGTGACCGAGAGCAGATTTAAAAAAATGAAATAAGTAATTTTATAAATATATAAAGAAATGTAAATGTGTTTCATCACAGTTCAGATCTTAAGTTTTGAAGCTACTCTTTCAAATGTTAAGATGTAGAAACAATTCATATTAAAATGTAAACGTTTAACGTGAAAAGTTTCCAATGAAACATAATTGTAGTTATTTTGTTATTGATTAAAGTGAATGTTGTATTATTCAAACAATTTGATCACAAAATGTTCTCATGAAAACACATTTGATTTGTTCAAATACAAATTTATCATGTTGGGACATAAAAAAAAGTTTTAACACAAACGAGTCAAATACTTAAATATTTGACTCTTTCCACCTTCAAGTTTTTATAAAAGCAAAAATCTGTCAAACTGCTGAGAAGAAAAAAAAAACCTTTATTGCATCATCGTCTTGCTTCTTCACATTGTGGAGGAATGACGAGGCCTTCAGGCTCAGTGGAATGAGTCACACGACCAGCTAACTGTCGCCTGTAGGTAACCACGCCCCCAACTGTCACCTGTAGGTAACCACGCCCCCTGCTACCTGTAGTTATGTGGGCAGGGGGTTAAATGTCACCTGCAGGTAACCATGCCTATCACCTCTCGATAACTCCGCCCCCAGGTAATTGTCACCTGTAGATAAGCCCGCCCCTGGAAACTGTCACCTGTAGATAAGCCCGCCCCCTGGAAACTGTCACCTGTAATTAGCCCCGCCCACAGGCACACTGTACCTGTGAAAAGCCACACCCCTCCCATTCATCATTTCCTGTCACATGATTCTGAAACATGCGGAATAAAAGAAAACGAACAACTCTAACAGGAAGAACAGAAGAAGAGGATGAGCTCAGAGTCTGTGACATCACTTCCTCTTACAGTCGACACATTAATAATTTAAAAAAACAAAAAACAGTTCGGGTAAACGCCCCCCCCCCCTCCTCTTCATCACTTTGTACACAGCCACCCGTCGATGACATCACTCGACGATGACATCAGTCTGCTGCTTCCTGTTTCCTGTCAGGTGGTCTAGTGCTTCGACAGCTCATTGGACAGCCAGTCCAGACCCTCGTACAGACCGGTACCCTGAGTGGCACAGGTGGCCTGGACGTACCACTGTAGACACACAGACAGACAGGTGACACTGGGATCAGACAACACCTGGACAGGTGAGCTGTGTGTGTGATTAATATGATCCTTACAGTTCTGTTGCGAAGGCTGTGCAGACCCAGTTTGTCGGTGAGTTCACTGACGACCATCGCGTTTGGAAGATCCTGTTTGTTAGCAAAAACCAGAAGAACCGCCTCCTTCAGCTCGTCCTCCTGGATCTACAGAGAGAGTCATGTGACCGACGATATCATAGATCTACAGAGTCATGTGACCGACGATATCATAGATCTACAGAGAGTCATGTGACCGATGATGTCATAGATTGTGTGATGCATTTCCTGCTGGTAAACATTCGGTTATTTCATTATTAACACTTCATTCCTGTCTTTATTAAAAATGTCTTTATTCATGTGAAGGAAAACCTTCAGGTGACGATTCAAAATATGAAGGAATATAATCTAGAGGGATGTATTTATGTAATGTCATGTTCTCTCTGCTCCACATTCTAAACATTCCCACATATCTGAGTTCTGTAGATAAATAGAATAAAGAGGTGATATTAGAGGAAACAATGAGAAGACAGAAGAACGGAGCTTTGAGACTGAAGTGTTTGGGTCACTCACCATCTTCGAGAGCTCCTCAGCAGACTCTGCTACTCTCTCTCTGTCGTTGCTGTCCACCACAAAGATCAGACCCTGCAGGAGGAACGTCACAGCAATGCTGTCATCCAACATTCATTACATACACAGCTTCTGCTGCTCCTACTTTACATCGTAGTCAGTCTCACTTTTAAAACCCTTTGACTTCTGGTCTCAGCGGTGTACCCGTGTGTTCTAGTTCTGGTCTCAGCGGTGTACCCGTGTGTTCTAGTTCTGGTCTCAG